ATATATATATATATATATACGTACATAGAGAATCGATTACGCTGAATTGTAAACTTTGGCATTTGAATCATCCTGATGGACCAGATTTCGATCATTATCTGAATACACGTAGACCAGTGTTATGTTTTGAATATCTCTCGGGGCCAAAATAAAGCTATTCTCCGTATTAACCTACCACAAGTGGCTGTCTCCTTTGTACCCTACCTGTGATGTTCGTCTAGTGTCTTTTGTCCTGATACCCTTGCTTACTCCATGAATTCACGATGTCTTTGAATAAAAAATAGTAGTCGCTCGCAATCAAACTCAAAATACGTTCTTAACTACGAAACAACTCCAACCGAACAGACTCGGAGTGGGTGCGTGCAGCGGGTGCCACTCTCTACGCACTGAGAGCAACAGACCCCTCGCCTTTAACTCTCTTGGATAAGGCCATCCCTGATCGTCCCGTTATTTTGCTCGATGATCTGGGGCATGCTGTGTGGGTGAATAGTCTGGCACTGGACCTTGCAGGTAAGCCGGTTCATGACTCTTGTGAGCCCTAAAATAGCTGGTAGAGCTCATATAGAACAGATTGCCTGTTAACGGTGAGTACGTATTTGTATTGCAAGTGATATCAATCAACCGTTCAACCCAGGAGACTGTTATCAGGTCTCTTGGTACAAATTGTAGTCCAAAACTGTCAAAACGTGTATTCTGAATTGCCTCTTCTTCGTTGTCGTTGAATGAGAGGCGCCTTCGATGTACAACTGGTTTTGTGTGTGATCGGATGGTATCCGCGCATCTCAACAACCACTATTTGTCCTCCCGTTTGTGCGGATTAAAACACATGAACGCTCCTATTAAAGGTAGAACCGAGCCTGTACTGTTCGTCTGCTCAGCTTACCTTTATCCCCGCGAATTACACCTCTATAAAGGCATATCAAAAGATGATGTAGACCCCCCGGGCGGTATATACGAGCGAAGCCCTACCACCGGAGCAATGAGTGGACTATTGCTGGAGAATGCGCAGCAGAAGGCGAGGGATGCTTCGGCTTTTGATGCAGATGTTTTGTATGACGGTTTGCTGCTTGGTCTGGAGTTTGTGGCTTCTAAAGGTACGTTTTAGGAAGTACTTGGATCCGATTTGGGCTTATAATGTATTAAGTGTGTCCCATTAGTATGAAAGTATTTTCCCTGAATTATATATAATCATATAAAAATGTATAAACGCAAACATGCTGTTCGTATGCGCGACCATCAGTTGTTCTCGCAAAGAGGCTGGCACTCGCATCTTTAGACTAACAGCCCGGTTTGACTCCTAGTACTATACATATGTAATATATGTGAATATATATAAAGTTACAATATATATATATATATATATATATATATATTGTATATATATATAATAGCTATATACTAT